GGCATTGTCACTTAAAAAAAAAGATGACAAAAAGAAAAAAGCCTTTACTCACCCTAGCAGCAGGGGCTGTGGGGACTCTGGGCCCTCCTGGCAGAGCGCCCCCAGGCAGCACAGGGTAGTGGGGGGCAGCAGGGCCTCTCCCCTGCCTTGCACTGTGCGGGTGGGGCCCCAGTGACACAGATGGCAGTTGGACTGTCAGCAAGTGCCAGGGTTTTTTTGGTTGGGTTTTTTATTGTGGGGATGCTGGGGTGCAAAGGGCAGGGACTGGGGGGGTCTGGGGGGCAGGCAGGGAAGGGATGGAAGAACCTGGGGGGCAGGCAGGGGATGGGGATAGGCAAGGAACAGATCGAGGGGGGCTGGGAGTGGGTGGGGCCAGCAGGGCCTCCGCCAGCCCCCTCCAACCCCTTACTTACCGGCACTGGAGACCTGCTGCTGGCACGCTGCCTGCCCTTCATGGGCTGGCAGCATATTTCAGTGCCATAGTGTATCTGTAAAGGACCCAGCCTCCAGTTGCCTCAGGGCATGGTCAGCCCTGCCCCACTTTTTTTAACTCTGTTTTTTTTTTAGACCCCTGGATAATCAGGGGTCTAATTTTGCCCTCACACTGTAAACTTGCAGCAGTGGAAAGCTTTTCCTGTTCCTGCATATGCCTCTTGCAGCATCTCAAAGGGGTTTAAGATGCTGCAAGAGGAAATGTGCGGGCTCATCTGGATGTGCCCGTAGTGTTCAGGATACTATAAACATGACTTTGGGTGGTAATGTAGAACAGCTCTTAAATGCTTACTGACCACGTTAGGGAAGTTGTGTTTATCAAGCTGTGACTCCACTGGACATCAGAAGCTTGCCATTTTTGCTGTTAGAGTTGGGCCAACAGCCAAATGACCTAACTCACAGTAAGATCCCTCATTAATCTAGAAAGAAGGCAAAATCCATATTAATAGCTACATTTTTCCCTATAGGTGCAGCATACTGTTTTTTGTTTTGTGGCTAGATGCAGAAGTGTCTGTATGCTGGAGTAGAGCTATTAGACTCCCACAGATACAGATCAAATGCCGAAGTGCAAAGCATCAAGAGCACCAGGGCACTACAGTCCCTGAATCCGGCTCTGCCCCCAGCCCCCTCCCAAAGAAACCACTTAAAACCATAGATATCAAGCAATATGCTAACAGGCTTTCTAAAAATAGGCATCAGTGCAGTTACCTTCCAGCAAGCATGTTTACATAGACTTGGTCTATTTGCCCAAGTATTTTCTTGTATCTATTTCCCTAGTGTCACAAGTTTAGAATGTACTATGTTTTTCAAGTGGGTAATACAAAATTTCAAAGCAAGAATTGTCACACAGTTATAAATATTTATACATGTTATTGTTCATCTGTCATTTGATTTTTATTTGGTTTATTTCTTTACGTTTAATATGTTACCGTCAAGGTATAAAATGTACTTCCACTTATATACCCAACTTTAAACTAGATTTTAACTTTTAAAATTTAAGATTTAAACATGCATTTTCACAAATGTGCATTTTGCACATTGGCTTCTATTCTACCCCGGAGAGCACACAACACACCAGCAGACTCTCCCTATACCTGAAGATGGGTGTTGTGCCCACAAGCTTGCAAAGAACAATTGTTCCAACTATTTAGTTGGTCTAATAATAGATATCTACCCAAAGAACCTTGTCACTTATGTACTTAGATCAACATGGCTACAACCAACAGCCCTTTAAACAAGATTTGAGTATCTAATTACTAACAAATTGCTATTCCACATGAGGCTTCATAAACTTACGTTTTAAAACATGGGTCTCCAGACATTAGCTGCATGTTGATCAATACCTACAAATCAAAAAAGAAAGAAAAAAGCCACAGCATAAGATGACAGCAGAAGCTGTCTGCCCTATTACATGGCACACTGTGGTAATACTTGCTACAAATCTTACATTTACAACTTAAGAGAAAAGTGCCACATTCATATCAAATTGTTACATGCTTATGTAAACAAGCATTATTTTTCAACACCAAACTATTAGTACAAAACAGCTGAGCAATTAAGACCTTGCATGGCACTCCTCTAAACAGTCCTCTAAACAATATTTCCAATATTGGAAATCAGTTATATTGTTGCATGTCCAGTTTAGGATTCTGCAAAAGGGACATAAAACCTTCCTAAAAATGTTTAAGCATTGACAGTAAGTAGTTCAAGAAAATGGAGGACTTCAAGGAATGTTATCTGTTACCCTAGATCAAGAACATAGCTTTCTCCACTGCATAAAATTAATAATTTCAAGATGTGACTTGCTAAGGAATAAGCATCTGTGCTACCATCACAGGTAGCAGGAACTACAAAGGCAAACAATGTGCATGTGTGTTGTGGCACAATGTCATGATTCAAATGGCCAAGAAGTTAAAATTATTGGTAGGAGTTTTGGAAAGTTTTTCTGGAATACAAGCCTCAAGGCAGCAGAAACCAAAGACCTAAACTGTATACTTAATGATAAGGACTACCAATCCCAGTATCCCCATTTAACACTAATTCCGTTTCAAATGATTAGAATTTCAGACAAATTTAAATCCCTTCGGGATGGCAGGACACACAAGTACATAATTTCTGTAAATCACACTCTAAAGCATGAGATTTACCAAATTCCCATAATATTTTTGGTACTGCTTAGTGTATAAAAGTGAGCAAGTGGAGGAAAGGCATCTCCATTCTCCATCAGAATCCACAACTGACCTATAAAGTTAGTGCATTCTATAGAGAATCAGCCAAAGCAGTTGAAACAGCTACACTTAAAAGAGCTATCTGTACAGTGATTATCAGTGGCTCTCAAAGAAATCAGAATGTCATTGCAACATACGGTGGCTTGTCCGTATCTACAAGGAACAATTATTGACACAAGGAACATTCAGTAACAGGAAATATATTTTCCACAGCATTACATGCTTGAATGTAAATGTTCAGCTTTATGACGTATACAATTAGTAGAAATGCATTTCTAGCTCAAAAGAGTATGAGGGGGGAAAACATGAATTACTTTGAGAATGGAATTATCTTGTCTTGTATTTTTGGTATCATAACCTTCCAGTAAACAGCGACGAGTTGTATTCCCTGATCCAGCAAACTCTGCAAGATTTAGATCTGCAAAGCCCAGCTATTAAGAAAGAATAAAGAGTTAGAGTACAATAAAGGGGTGGTTACTGCATGCACAGTAATTTAGTTTAAGTTATTAGCACTTTTTCACACTAATGTGAACTATATTACTTAGCATAGAAGAAACACCCTCAAGACAAAAAGTGAAAAGTATTAAAAATATAGTCAATTCTACAGCAACTTGTAATATAATTGGACAACTGATACTATTCAATACGTCTAAATGCCAAACACATGGCTCTAGTCTTCGTTCAACTTTCACCTCAGAAAAAAGAAACAAGGAAGTCTTTATATTTAAAAATCCCACCTCTCTACAAAAGGGTTAATAGAAATAAA